ATACTATTTACCAAAAAAAAAAAAAAAAAAAAAACTTAAATTATTATTTTTTTAAGTAAAATACCTCAAACATGATATTATAAAAAGTCACGTTATTTGAAAAATATAATAGTGAAGGAATATAATTAGCCAGAAAATATTTTTGTTCAAGTTTTACATTATTTATCATTATTATTTATTATTTAGAGTTGAAATTCGCTTCGGCAAATTCAGTTATAGATGCGTTACGAATTTGCTGTTCTGCTTTGAATACCTTCGGCCAGAGTATAAAAGCTGACTAGACACATTGAAAGTGTTAAAAGGCAGCAGGTAGCGGAAGATAGGGGATCGGGCATCGGGCATCGGGAATTTCCGTAGCGGGTGTAGGCGTGGTGGAGCTTACCATTTGGCCAGCAGACAGTAAAATGCCTGCCAGTGCGAAAGCGCTGGAGTGGCGGCAACTAAACTCAAACTTAATTAATGCTAAACAGCTTAACGGCGCACCAACTCGCCAGGCGGAATGTCGGTATTCATTTTGTAGGCAATTCTGAAAACGTATTTAATTAAAGGGAACTAAACCCATCTTGGCTACATACATACACACATACATACTCTCTCAATCAGCCAAGTGTAACACAAGCCCAAACCTAGTATCAGGTGTTTGCAATACTAAAAATTGAAATTGTAAATTTCCAGAGTTTTCTTACATTTTCATGAATTGTCATTTAGTAATTGCAATAAATATTTTATGACAAATGTGAAAAGAAGTATAATATTTCGTTATCAGCTATATAAATACAGCTGTGCACTGATTCTGCCTAAATAGAAAGTTGAGTTTGCCCTCAATTTCCAACTGGCATTCCTATTCAATGAATCGCAAAACATCTGCAAAAACACAATTATTCCAATTCATTTGAATACTAATGAAATGGTTGAAAAGCGTAAAGCTTTAAATAGAACACGAAATTGGGCAATATACGGGCAGATTTTAACTATGAAATTTAATTAACATTCGTCGCTGACATAAATTAAATACTCCTAAATATAATTTTTTAAAAATTATTATTTTCGATAACTGAAAATAAAAATGTGCCCCGATGATTTCCAATGATGTTGTGTAGCTTAAATTAATGATAAGATAGGTTTACGTATTCGAATCTAGTAATAAAATACCCTGGCCGTGTGCCATATGCAGCCGGATGAGCCGAATGAATCATCAGGCAAACATTTGGCGTTACGCTGAATTTTGTAGAAATAAGTTTAGCTCTGGGGCATAGGGCAAACATTCGTGCATTATGCATGACCAACACTTGTGTTAAATGCCTATTATTTGAGTCAAAATTCAAGTTGAGTAAAATTCACTCAAGCCAAATTTCAACTGCACTAACTTTATGAATCACCTGCAGTCATAAGGGAACTTGCGAACAGCCCCAACAAGTTTATTGAAAACCACAGAAGCTCAAATCGGCCAGATAGATAATAAATAAATATATATACATAAATATATATTGTATATTTCTCTAATAGTCAAATTATTTTCTCGAGCTCTATTGCATCTATTAAGATAAAAATGTTTAATTCTTTATATAGTATATAGAAATATTGTTAACGTTATGAAGGTCTGTTGCAATTGTCTTAAGCTGACAAATATGATTACTAAGTCTAAAGTCGCCTCTCAGGAATGTCAAATCAGATGAAGTATAACTGAAAATATTCCTTTACTCTTTGCCCTTTCTCACACTAGTTTTAATAAGATTACCAACTCATGTAAAAATTGCTGAACTTGCAAAATGAGATGCACAGGATTATGTGATTCATCTGGTTCTCTGTCGATAATATTCAAGTTTTTATGATAGCTTTATCGAACCTAAGCTTGTTCTTCAAGTAAATTACTTTAGTGGGAAACATTGTTGCAGCTGATTGCATGCAACTTTGTTGCAAGCAGATCGACAAGTTTGGTTAATGGGCTTTGCCTACCAAAACTTTTCAACTTTTAATGGCAGCGATTTCTGCTCTTCTCTTTCCGATTTGCTAGTCGAACTAACGATGCAAAGTACCATAAGGAGCTGTCACAATTTCAATTGCAGTTAGCATTGTGATAACATATATTTTGATACGTATGAATATATATCACTCTGTTTGACAGCATACTAAACCCTCTGAGCAGTGACATCATCAGCTCTATTGGAGTGTAGCTCTATCCACACCCAGGATCAGAGCAAGATATGGCCTCACCCTGACCTCGTTAAGTTGCCGCATTCGCGAGTGCCCATAAAAAGTTGGAAGATTTGCAGGCAACACAGGCAGGCGTCTGCTTGCCAACTCTAAAGATGTGCGGTCAGGAAATGGGATTGAGATGCCTCCTGCCTTCCGTCTTCCGCCTTCCGCTTTCCGCCCCCCTCCTTCCCCTTCCACACAGCTGGCAGACAACGCTATGATTGCATAACTGTAAAAAAGCTGAACGTTTGTCTGTCTGACCTTGTCCCGTGCACCACGACCACCGGAATGCCTTTGCATTGGAAAGGTAACAGAACAGCTCGAACAGCTCTTGCCACACTTATTTTCACTCCCAGATAGTACTACGACTGTTTCGGCTGGCATTCAAAAGTTTTTCCAGCAATCGCTAATTGAAAGCGCTGCGAGGTTTTCCACTTGCACTTACACTTGGGTACACTTTGAGTTAGACTAAATTCATTCACATGCTTACCTGCAAGAAAAAGAGAAGAATAAATTAGAGTTAGATAATTGAAGTCGTCAGCGATGATAAGATAATCGATAGATAGATAGTAAAAAAAAAAAACTCATCAGGGAAAGTTTTCATAGCCAGAGAGATTGAACAGGTAGACAAATTTTATGAACACAGCATTTTCAGCTATGTTTCCATGGAATATTTTTCAAAAATTCCATTAACAAAACATTTTGTTGTAGAAATCTTTTATAAACCAAATGAATTTCAAACAATTTCCAACTAAAATTTTATAGTTTCATGTAGAATTTCATGCCAATCGCCGTTCTTTAGAATACACGAAATTTGTGCTTCACCTTCAAACATATTTGTAAACACATGTGCAAAATATGAATTCAAGAAATGAACAGACTCGTTGAATTGAATAAGTAAAGCTCTAACTAGTCTAGTAATAATCAATATGTCAACATATTTGTAAAACATATTTTCTATTTTTCAGTAAGTTTATTCAAAATATATAAGCTCAACTCTTAGAAAATCATTAAAAGACAATACGGTTTAGCCATCGATATAGTATGCATAGCTTTCATAGCCTAGCCATATTTTATATACCACATTTTTTAATGGTCACAAAAAGTAAATCATCAGCAGCGAGAAAGCCAAAAAATAAAACAGAATCAATTGAAACATACATAACAGACAAAGCATATACATACATACGTATATACATATATACATACATATATCTAGTAGACTGAGAATATAGAGAATTAAGAGAATAGCACTCAGCTTGTCAGCGGACTGAAGTAGGATATGAGCTGTATGAGAAAAGGAGAGAGAGTTAGAGAGAGCGAACGAGATAAAAGTTGGTACAGTTACAATTTTTAATGCACGTTGCATGTGTGTTGCCACTTGCTAGGACCCCGTTTGTCATCCCTTCAACAGCCATCGCTCCGCTCCGCACCACATCGCCCCACTCTGCCCCATCCCGCTTATCTTAAGTAAGTTCTGTTGTTTGATGCCAATTTTTTGCATTGCTTCTCCTTTTTTGTCGGTTGTTGAACCCG